TTCACATCATGATATACCAACTGAGCAGCCACTGAGATGAGCATCAATGTTAATGCAGAGATCTCTCCAGGTATTGTAGACGTCCCTGAGTGTAATAAATTGCTTCCATTTATCACTGAATGAAACATTTTCTTCTTATTTTCAGTCTTTCAATTTCTTTCCGTAGTTCATTTGTTTCCTCACTTTTTAGTTTAAGTAAGCTTTCAAACACTGTTTCCAGGTCTTCATAATCTTTTCGACTGTGTTCGAGTTTCTCAGTAAGCTCTTGAATGTGCCGATCTTTATTCTCTCTGAACTCATTAAATTCCTCTGCTTGTTTTCTGGCTTCAACTTCATGTTCCTTCTTTATATCTTTAATTTTCTGTTCATATTCCTTTTTCAGTTGATTATATTATTTTTCTTTTCATTTCCTCATCCCATTCTCTCTGCTGTTGTTTAAGGTTCTCTTGAATCTCCTTTTTGTCATGTTCATGTTCTTTTATTCTTCTTTCCTATCTCTGTCTCTCTTCCTCTTCCTCCCAAATTCTCCTTTGTTCCGCCAAACGTTTCGGTAACACTTTACAATAAGGTTCATTAGTTAACTACATAAGTTAACATGAACTAATAATGAACTGCACTTATACAGCGTTTATTAATCTTTGTTAATGTTAATTTCAACATTTACTAACACATTATTAAAATCTTGTTAACATTAGTTAATGCACTGTGAACTAACATGAACTAACAATGAACATCTGTATTTTTATTAACTAACGTTAGTGAAGATTAGTAAATACAGTAACAAATGTATTGCTCATGGTTAGTTCATGTTAGTTTATACATTAACTAATGTTTAACTAATGAACCTTATTGTAAAGTGTTACCAACGTTTCCTTTTAGTTTCCTCTTCTTGTTCTTTTTTCATTCTGCCATGACACGCTCAACTTGAAGCTTTTCTTGATCTTGTTTATATTTCTCCTCTCTATTTTATCTTGCTTTTCTTTTTCTCTTTGCTGTTTTTCATACAGTAGTCTCTGATCTCTTTCTGCATCTCTTCAATTTTTTGGTGATATTCAGCTTTTTGTTGTTTTTCTTCATCTGATCGTCTCTTGTCATCCTCCTCTCGTCTCTTCTGTTCTGCCTTTTCTTTCTCTTCAAACTCTTTTCTGAGAGTCTCCTCTTTTTCTCTGAACTGATTCACCCTTTGTATCCTTTCCTCATCTGCTTTCCTTTTCTCTTTGTCTAGTCTTTCCATTTCCATGTCGTATTTTGTCTGGATTTCGCTTTCTTTTTCTTTCAGTATTTCCTCCACTCTTTTTTTAATGGACATCTCTGCTTCCTCAAACATGCTGTTTGTAAAATATTGCCCCTTATTAGATTTTTTTCACCGCTTCTATCATGTTTAAAAGTCAAGTAACTTGTGCATTATCTTTTTTGTATGTTATTAAAAACTAAAAACCTGTTTCCAAAGTTCCTGATCAATTTCTTGAGATCAGCATTTTTACTTTTCTCTACAAACTGTTCTATTGTTTCATTTTTCAGATAATCTCCTCTAGTGAACAGAACAATGCTGAACTGTGCAGCACTTGGACCAAAAATCATTTTTATCAGATCCACAGTGTTTTTCTCTTCATTGTTCAATCTTTTCCACACTCAAGACAATAATAAAGACATGAATTGCACAATTCTTAAAAGCCAGAATCTGATGGTGCATCTTCACCTGAAATAAGAAATTATAGACTTTTAACAATTTACACAAATATGTTTTCGTCAAGTACTACACAAATAAATAAATAAATAGTGGACTACAGCTCAACATTAAAGCGTTTCCACTTGTTTGTTATTGTACTACATTCTACTGGACAAGTGTATGTCTAGTGTAATGAACATTTTATTAGGAAAAATCTCAAAGAAAAAAGTATTTAAAAAGAAAAACTGTGATTAACTTTCAAATGAGATTTAAAAAGATAGCTAAGTTTTTTGAGTAGCAGATATATTATACTTATGATATACTTTTTTTCTTCACTCGCCCTCTTGTTGGACCTTCTGCTCTAACGCTTTGATTTCACTCAGTTTTTCCTCTAGCTCATATCTCACTCTGTTCTCTTCAGCCTTTATATACATCTGAAGTGAGTAGGGTTCTGTTTTAATGCTCTGATCAAAGTTTCTATGATCCTTCAATCCCATTACATTGTAATGACCTCCGTACAACTCTTTGAGATTCTGTGGTTATCACAGAATTTCTCACACTTTGGTCAACAGTGAGATCTGTAGTGAAGAGTACCATGAAGTGCTCTTTGTAGTAAAATATCTTCTGAATTTTCTCCAGTTCTATTTTGTCTTCATCAGTAAGTGGACCAACAGGAATAATGAGGAGGAAAATATGAACTCCAGAATCACAGAGAGAAACACAGCGGAGAGTCTGGCACATCACTTCCTCTTCTGAGAGCTCAGTGAGAGCTGGAAGCTCCACCACAGTGATGATAGTTTACACAAACTAAACTAGACTCTCTCTGATGTGTGGATGAAGTTTTCCCTTGTAACATATCGGACACAGAGGCCTTGAGCTTTGTATTTCTTCCACAAAGCACCAAGTTTAATTTAGCTTTTTCAGGAGCAGAAGCTGAAAATGAAAAACAATTTAAGAAACAGTTGACTTTGGTCCTTAAATGAACAATTTCCTTAAACAACATCAATAAAAAAAATACTGCAAAATAGAATTAGTACACATTACACTAAATTCTACTTATTTGAAATCAGTATTTAAGTATTTATTTATTATATTTAAGTAAATATTAAATATTTGAGTATTTAAAGAAATCTTTATTCTTCTTATTTTTATATTTATTTTTATTCTATATTTTTAATGAATACCTATGGAAGCCCGTTTCCGCCACTAAATAAAAAAATATAATTCTGTAAGTCATAAAGTTCTAATCAATTTCTTATTTTAAAGTGACAGTCTTCCAGATACACCCATAAATTGCATGAGAACTCCCAACCACACCCACATGAATGACATTAAATAATTGCTCTGTAGTGTTAAATGCTATTAATAGAGCCAAAAACCTCATTGAGGTTTTTTTTTCATAAAATTAAAATATTTTTATCTTCTCTACTCTTTGAATGATCTCTCACTCAGAGTAACATCCTGGTTGCCTTTGATCAAACTGGAGATGTCCTCCTCCACACTCCTTTATTAACTGATGCATAACATTATTCTTTAGCACAGAAGCCAGCGAGGAGGTCAGTGTCTCTTTATCAGTAGTTAACACTTTTGTGCATTTAATTGCCTTGTCCCTGAACTGTTTCAGTACATAATTTACTCTTCGTATGTCATCCTCACTAAAGTCATTATGCTGTAGTACGAGTATGATCGCATGAGGTCCTGGATCAGACAGATACACACACTCTTTCACTCTCTTAGCAATCTGAATGTGGTAGAGGTCTGGCTGTAGAAGATGAGGATCATATGACAGTGATGGGTCTGTCCACTAGTTGTCCTCTAACTCTCTCTGTGCGCTGCTCTACATCAGCTGAAGGTGCTTTACTCTTGTATATTCCCAGGATGCTGTTTCTAACTCTGTTGTTTGCCAGTGCATCTTCCCCAGCAAGACAATCCTGAGCTCACTCACTTTAGCACAGAACAAATACACACACGCACACACACATCATGCAATGCAAAATCACTGTAGCAATCATCATTGAAAAATCTCAATCAAATATGCAGCATCAGACAGCAATAATGTCAAAATTAACAGATTTAAAAAACACATGAGACTGACTGAGAAAAGACTTTTGCATTCTACACATAATACAGCTTTTCTCTATTGCTAAAACACTATAACCAGGCTTTTGAACTAAAATTTCAAAACCATAACGCCATTTTTCAAAAAGCACACCCATTTTGCTGAAGCGTGGTGAAGAAGGAGAGGAGGAGGACTTAGTGAAGAGGACGTGGTGAAGGAGGAAGAGGATGTGGTGAAGGAGGAGGGAGAAGAAGGGTAAGGAGACAAGCAGTCTCAGATGAAATTCAAGCCACTTTAGTTGACCATGTCCTTGTCCATGGTATGACTATGAGGGAGGCTGGGCAACGAGTACAGCCAAATTGGAGTCGCTTCACTGTCGCTGCCATCATCGGAACCTTCAGGGAGGAAAACAGGTAGGTGTACTTGCAGTAAGACAACTCTGTACAGTAACTTTAGAGTGCATACACTGTTGCACTGTGCTACTGTAATAAAGAAATGCATCAAATTGCTTAGCATACAGATAGTTTCAGTATGTTTCCATTTTTTCCTGTAAAAAGGATGTTACAGTAATGAGTGCTTCTATTTTTGTAGGACACAGAGATGACCACCTGGTGGAGGCAGGCTAAGGCTTTTGTCGGTGGAGCAAGAGAGTGAGCTTGTAAACCTGGTCATTGCCAATAATGTAATCCGCCTGCGAGAGATTCAAAGGAGAGTGATTGAGGATAATCATCATTTTCGAGGGATAAATGCCATCAGCCTCTCCACAATTTATCGTACCCTCCGAAAGCACCGGTTCCGGATGAAACCGCCATACTGCGTCCCTTTCGAATGAAACTCTGATAGAGTGAAAGACCAACGAGTGGAATATGTTCAGGTATGAGTTTTGATATCATATGACGTATTGTGTACCATCACAGTATAGCAGTTTATGCTGCCATTTGTGCCCTCTTGAACTGTGCTTCAGGGCAGTGATTTACTCTACTGCGTTTTGCAGAGAGTCTTTGAGATTGAAGGCCAGCCTGTTCCCCATGAAATTATCTTTGTGGATGAGGCTGGTTTCAACCTGACCAAAAGAAGGAGAAGGGGGAGGAACATAAATGGCCATCGGCTATTGTAAATGTCCCTGGTCAGCGCGGAGGGAATGTCACTGTGTGCCGCCATCAGCCAACGAGGGGTACTCCACCGTCATGCCATTTCTAGGACCCTATAACACTATGCTCCTTGCTTTCCTTGACCGTCTAAGAGAGCATATGTTCCAGCTGGACCTCAGGGAACTAGCACAGCCAGAGCAGCCTCATTACATTGTTGTTTGGGATAATGTCAGCTTCCATCGCGCTGCTCTGGTTCGTGACTGAATTACCAATAACCCAAGGTATTCTAACATCTTTCTGCCTGCATACTCTCCTTTTCTAAACCCGATAGTTATTTTCGGCATGGTGGTTGAAAGTGTATGACTGAACCTTATATCCGTGCTCCCCTCCTCCAGGCAATGGAAGAAACCTGCCTAGACACATCAGTAGATGCATGCTAGGGGTGGATCAGGCATGCAAGAGGATTTTACCCTCGCTGCATGGCTAGGGCCAATATAGTCTGTGATTGTGGACCAGATTCTCTGGCCTGACCCAGAACAAAGACTGGATGCTGAGGTGGAATTTCTTTTGTTTTATATATTATTATTTTTTTTTTAGTTGTGCTGTGTAGTACATGAATGAATAAAAATGTGCCACTGTATACCTTGGTTGTGTCTTGTGTTCATGTGAAAAGGTTTTTGAGGGGGAGAACCAGAAGCAACATAACTTACCAGTTTTGGATATATTGTTTTGAATTTATTGCACCAGTGTAGTACTATGTTTGCAGATTTCCCCTCAGACCTATTAGCTACTGTTGATAAAGCGCTAATTGTTGGAGATTTTAACATTCACGTTGATGCATTAGGACTTGCGTTTCCTGACATAAGCTCTTTGAGTCAAGCAAAAGTCACCGGGCCCACTCATCATTTTAATCCTATGCTAGATTTAATTATATCGCATGGAATTGATCTTACTGATAGATATCGTACCTCAAAGTGATGTTACTGACCGTTTCCTTGTATCGTGCATGCTGCATATTACTGATATTAACTATATGGCTCTGCGTTATCGTCCGGGCAGAACTATTGTTCCAGCCACCAAAGACAGATTCACAAATAACCTGCCTGATTTCTCAACTGCTCGGTGTACACATGAACTAACTTTGGTTTGAGAAGTGGGGGGGACACAAAATGGGGACAAATGTTTTCGAATTTGAATCCCATTTCCTGCATGTACATACATTTAGGGACTATGGTGATACAAAATCCAGGAAATAATTAAGTTGATTAATGATCAATATTAAGATGCAATGATGATAAAAAAGTGAAAAGTGATTCTTTTAAATACTAAAAGTGCCAGTAGGTGGCGGTAAGTCACTGTCTTAATGCGTGAGTTATCGAGTCATTTGTTCATTCAGTAACTAAGCAAGTGGCTGTATTTATAAATGAATCATTGAATCAATGACTTTTGCTAACGATTCGTTCACGAAACACCGCAAAACTCAGCAGTTTGTTCGCGCACCCCCTCTGTCGCCTCACGTACCCCAGTTTGGGAACCACTGTTCTACATTAAATATTTAGCTAACAACAGTCTGTTACAGCGATACCTGATCATTAGAACTTTCAGTGAGCTATTTTTAGTGTCTGCTCGCGACGTTCCTGGACTCGGACGCGCGTCTGCGCCCTGCTCGGTCCTGCTCCTCCGTGGCGATGACGGCGTGCGGTTAAAAAAAATCATAACAAACGAATTTGAAAGTGGGGATGGACACAAACGTGATTTTGAAAAGTGGGGGGGACATGTCCCCCCTGTCCCCAGTGGAAATTACGCCCTTGCCTGTTTCTGATGCAGAAAAGCTAGTTCATGCATTCATGACCTCTAGACTGGACTATTGTAATGCACTGCTAGGTGGTTGTCCTGCATCTTCAATAAACAAGCTACAGGTGGTCCAAAATGCAGCGGCTAGAGTCTCATAAATGAACATTAGTTGGGTCATTCCTGGGAACCAAACATACTGTCATGTCCCCGAGTCACTTCACTGAGTTTGTACTTAGAAAATTATTAACAAAATGTGTATAGTGTCTGTGATTTTTTTGGCAACAAAGTAATCATTTATTTGTGCTCCTTTCTTTTAAAAAATATTGTTCTAAAAAAAATGCAAAATATTTTATAAAAAACAGACTTTAAAGTTATGTCCCTCAGTCTGAACTCAACTCTGTCACACTAACCATTCTAAGCCCATAATTCATTCGAGGAAAAAAAATTAACTTAAATGATTTTAGCAAAGGGCTGCAATATAACAAAGAGTGAAAAATTTAAGGGGGTCTGAATACTTTCCGTACCCACTGTATGTTTTGTTGATAGTACTGTCAAGCTTAACAAGTCACATAAAATTAAGATGGAAAATTATTACTTTTTCAACATTTTATTTTAATCCATAAGTATAAACAATCTACTTATTTTATTGCTGCCACATATAGTCTACTCTCCTACACTACATGAGGAGCAGTGGCCATTTTGAGTGAAAAACCACAACCCTATATATGTATTTCTCATTGTTACGGGGTTGTAAACTTGTGACAGGGTTGAGTTATTTGCTTAATTTATTAATAATTTTAATTTAAAAAAATAGTCATGGTTTCAGCAAATATATATACTCCAAAATCATGACAACTATTTTTGTTTTAAATAGAATTATTGATGTCATATGTCCACTTAAACCTTGACAAGCATCATACATCAGAAATTGCACCCACATTTGCAGCAGAAAGACAATGTTGGCCATGCAGATATGTTGACCCAGGAACAAGGGGATAATATGATAGAGAAACAAAACCAAAAATGTAAATTTAAGACATTGTATCCCTCAAATGTGTTACAGTCTTCAACCCCGTCCCACCTTGTTACATTATTTTTTTTTAAAGAAAAATATAGGGAAAACAATTAAGAACAAAAGTATTTCTTGCTGATTACCATTTGACATGTTAAGGGCTAAAACAATAAAATTGTGGTTTTATTTAAAATTTTTACTTAAAAAAAAAATATATTTTTTTACAAAACTGAAGAGATCGTAGACACATAATTTGTGTATTTTTAGCTTCAGTCCTATAGAAATGTGAAAATTATGATAAATGTTTTGTTATCATTAAATTGTTATGAGGGACACATGAGCAGTAGGTACATGTTTGTTTTTATAACAAATTCTGTGTAAAATCCTTTTTAAACCAATTTCATTTTGTCCGTTACGAGGTTGAGAAAAAAAGGAGTCTAAAGCTGAAAATAACAAAAGGTCTTTAATGCCTGAGGTGGGAAAATATATATATTTTTTGGAGGTTTGATAAGTACTGTGCCGAATGATGTGGGGTATTTAGAATTTTGAATCACATGTAGTTGAAAAAAATGTATATTCGAAGTTGAAATGTTACCGAATCCCAGGAATGACCCAGTTAACTTCATAATCAATTCATAATGTTTTAAGTGGAGATTTTGATTAAACCAATCCCATTTTGTCCGTTACGAGGTTGAGAAAAAAAGGTGTCTAAAGCTGAAAATAACATAAGGTCTTTAATGCCTGAGGTGGGAAAATATATATATTTTTTGGAGGTTTGATAAGTACTGTGCCGAATGATGTGGGGTATTTAGAATTTGAATCACATGTAGTTGAAAAAAATGTATATTCGAAGTTGAAATGTTACCGAATCCCAGGAATGACCCAGTTAACTTCATAATCAATTCATAATGTTTTAAGTGGAGATTTTGACAAATTCCCAGCCTTTAGAATTGAAAATATTTAAGTATGAAGAAGAAAGATTTTGCTTTGTTTGGTGGATCGGTATAGAGCTACCATACCATGAATATTTATAATTACTATCTCGGGGTAGCCCAGCAGGCACTAGACTAGAACAATGTACAAAACACCGGTAAAATCACAGAAGTAACACTATTTTCTTCAGACAGTAGGGAGCGATAGAGAGCTTTCTGCACACGCTGTTCACTCTGCAGAGGGAGGACGTGCTGTGACGACAGCTAACGACTGAATGAAGTCAGCTGACTTTTCTTGTTCCTCACGTCTCATCTGACCAAAGCATCTGGACACAGGACTGTCTCATTATCTGAGGTATTTACACATTTTTAAACGATAATCATATAGTTTTTTTTTCACGCTGAGACCACTGTATTGCAGAAGCGTACTTGTTAGGTTAATCAAACAGAAACTATGATTATATGATTTTCTCAGATTCTCTTTGTAATTTTTCATATCATAATCACATAATCATATAACAGTTAATTTTACTGATGTACATTGTGTGTTGTGTCGCTGAATCATTTCTCGCTTCCCCTCTGCATGCAGCTCATTGCAGTCGTTAACAGTACGTTTATTTTCCCTGCAGCACTGAGAATAATAACCCACTTGGATGCTAAACAGATTGCTTTAGAATTTCAGTATATTATCTATATAATCATTTCAAGTATTCACGAACACATGAGATGGGTCACATTACTCGCTATAATTAATGGGAGACAAAAATTACCTTAGATTTTCAGCAAAGGTCAAATTCTATCAGCAGCATCGTGATCATGTGATCATGCAGCCGCATCTCTTCGCAGCTCGATGTCCAGTGCACACAACAGCTACAAGCATTAAACGATCTTTGAGTACATCTGGAGAATATATATTTAATATGCTTTATTTAATCCTCTCATCTTTTTCTCTGTAGAGATGATTGTATTTGGGCATTGTAAAATTTGATGCTCAAATAGGCAGCTTACTAGATTTTGACACACAACCGCTGCCTGCTGTTTTCCAATTAACAACAGCATACTAGGTTTGCAGACCACATGTCTGTACAGTTTTGTTCTTTTTTTTCCGCCTGTGGTCAAAAACTCTGATTTGAACATATTTCATACCATTTGGATCATTCGTCATCATGTGATTATACAATCACAAAAACCTGGAAGTTAGACTGCTTCCTCTTGAGGTTCTTGAGGAATAACAAGAAATATTTGTATTAATGAAGGTGTCAGTGTCATGTATTTTTTTTACAGAACATT